AGCACTGTTCATCAAATTCCTTATCTGTCTGGCTAGAGCATTATTACAATCCTACAAGCAAATATTGGTTCAAGCAGCCTATGGTCTTCATAAAATTAAATTGGAGGGAACTTGTATGGTTTTGTGTGTTCTTCTGTGCTCCTAATTAGGGGTTTCACTGCTCTTGGGAAACACCATAGTCATGAGAAAGGAGATTCTTTTCATATAGGCTGGCATAAAAATACATAGGGACAGCTTGCTATAAGATGGAGTCTAATTCTGTGAACTCTACAGTTCCTCTTGTGTTGTGGTAACTCCCAACCATAATATTATTTTCATTGCTACTTCATAGCAATACTTTTGCTTCTGTTATGAATTACAATATAAATATCTGATATGCAATAATTCTGATATGAAAACTCTGTAAAAGAGTTGTTCAACCCACAAAGGGATTGAAGCCCACGGGTTGAGAATCTTTGATCTAGAGGGTTCATCCTACTGTACCTCACATCTTTTGCTGTCTATTTATTACTTTCAAACCCCCTCCTTTATCTTGTTTCCTGAACCTCTGATGGAGAGGTATGTTTTCATCTACTCCTGAATAGAGTAGAACACTGAATATTAGAACAATAACACAGGCCACAGCAATGTATACTTTGAATTAGAATGAAATGGAAACTCATCCCCAGACCATAGCTGAATTATCAGGTGAAAGTCTAGTATGTTAATTATCACAACAATCCACATGACCTAGATAATGAAAATCCTCCTTTAATGTGTTTAAACTATCTGTGGTTTTGGTTTTGTTATCTGGGCTAAAAGCACAGCACCTAATGCCAACAAATACTTGGTTTCTAGCTAGCATCACTGGGGAAAAAATCAATATTTGTAAAGACATTCTTTCAAGATACTCTTTCTTCTTTTGTGCTGTCTCTTGATTTAGCATGGGTGTGCTTTCATGTATATATTTTAATGCCTTGGCTGTAATGAATATGAATACATTCAACACCTCCTGTCTGGATTAGCAGGGCCAGTGAATACAAGAATCATACCAAATTCCAGAGAAAAATAAGACTTTAGTAACATAAAGTTTTCAGAATTGGTGTGCAAGGTGTTATAAGTATTGCCAGACCAGAAAGGCCAACTGAGTATGTACCTAATTGTCTAGCTATTTGGGATATATGATCACAAGTGATTTCTATATAACCATCCTCTACTTATGGGTAGATAGTAGTCCCCATTTCTTTTTTTTTTGTAAGTGAATTTAAATGCACTTTATTTTCAGACAACCTACATGATATGTTCTTTCTTGAAAAAAAAATGTCTCCACTCCAATTAAATCATGGTCAAAATAAAAGCTCCAGATGACATGATCCCATTTGTCCTAAGCCCTAGTGTTGTATGGATTGCAAGCAGCAGCCAGCTATGGTGACAGGTAACAGATCCAATTTGTTACTGCAAAACAAGGAGACCACATTAAGAGCCACCCTCAGCTTGAGGGTGGCTTTCCTACCATATACATGTACTCCCCAATTCAATCTGGACTGCCACAAAGACAGGCAGGAAGCGCAGGGAGCATTTTCTTTTGCATCCTAGTGCAAACCAGAAGAACAACCACAAACTGTTCAAGGTATATCAGTGGATGCAGGTAGGCTCCATTTCTATAATAGGCCTTTTGTTTCTCAGTTGATTTAGTTTATGTTACCAAATTTGGGGTAACAGCCTGTGCAAGAATAAGACAAGTTCTGCCACATGTCCATAATAATCCAATTAAAAGAGACAAATTAATAATAAAAAGGAGGAAAAAGATATTTATTCAATACATCCACAATGGGAAGAAATACAATGAGACTCATTGTCCCCTAAAGTCTTCTTCTGGATCCTAAAATGAGGTTGAGGTCTAAATATTAGCTAACAAATAAGCATAACTGAACAGTTAGGCTAAGATACTTTCCCTTGCCATCAATATCTCAGTCCCATATCCCTTCTACAAGTTCATCTGATGTTAGCTCTTTGTTCACCAACCAAACCAGAAACACTGCAGCAGTCTCAATAATACATTCTGTGGTTCTGCCTCTTATATTTTTTGAGATTACAATATAATCACGTAATTCTTTCCCCTTCTCTTTCCTCCTTCTGATTCCTGACCTGTACTCCCTAGCTCTCTCAAAAAATGCACAGTCTCTACCTTGAACAAAAATCTATAGGCAACTAATAGAATGCTGAGAGCAGGAGAAACAGTCTTCCCCTAGGAACAGCACACTGATTAATTATCAAATACTACATTGTCTTCCTGAAAACATACATACAAGTAACATACATAATGATGAAAGTAGAACACTTAACTGCAGTCTGAGGAATATGGACATGAAAGAAGATATGCGGAACACATTAAAACATATATTAAAACATGAAATTTAAATAGATCTCCTAATTAACACATTGATATAGGTATGATGGGGTGTTTGAATTTACTAAAATTTCAGTGTTATGTTGCCATGTCTTTGAAATGGAGGTGATGAGAAAATATAAGGAAAAGCAAATAAGGTAAATATGACCTCTTGGGTTAGGACACCAGACATTTTTAATTTCTTCCATCTACATAGTTGGTCTTTAAGGACCTACACTCCTGGGATCTTAGTGAAATTAACATTAAGTGTCTAATAAGAAGCTTTAGATATTAAACTGCCGGGGGTCTGGAGTCAGCCAGGGATACAGGTGTTGGCCAGTGAAATATTACCTTAAAAGCTCTGCAAAATCAGGAAAGAATAGGTTCATCTTCAGCTAGAGATTGCCCTGTCTTTCAGGAGTCCCAGATTCTGTCCTGTGTGAGCAAGGGCTGAGTGCTGCTTTCTTTCGCATTGTGTGGGATGCTGAAGATCACTCTTCATGAAGACATTCAAGTAATGCGCAGTGCAGTATTTAATGATTGGACATGCGGTCAGGTGTTTTATAACAGATTTATCGCAGGGAATCAGTGAGGAAATTGCATTTGAAAGATTCTGAGAGACAGGTCTTCTGAGAGGATCCTGTCCTTTTAATCATGCATTGTAATTTTCATTCAGCTTTCTTTCATTCTGCTAGGAATCTATTACCTATCTTCAGCGGATCCAGGGTCATTTTCTTCCAAAATAGAAATATGTTTCTTCTCAAATACGTTGACTGTCTTAATTAAGTTTTTAATATTACTACCTCTGGTGGTGGAAGCAAATGTTTGGACTAGTTAGTACATTAGGTCTCAAAGGCTTCAATAGCAAATTACTACATATTGGATAGATTGTTCACAATATTCTGCTAGCAGTTGTGGAATGTTAAATATGTTAAATAGATGGGGGCAGCCAAGTCTATTCCCAAAATACATTGACATTTGTGTGTAGTCTTTGTGTATATTGATGTGGTCTTTTCTCTTTATGTCACTCTGATAATTTTCTATCCTTATAAAACCATATTTTGTGTTGGATAAGAACATGAACTGTTGGACAAATTCTAAATTGACTCTTCATTATTGGCTTTGTCCTTGTGCAATCTTGGTCTAAATTACTGAGGATAAATTATGTAACAAATGAAATATGGGATAAACATGGCTCTGTCCCAAACAATTTCAGTCTTCTTATTCTCTGTGTTGTCTGGCCTTACCACTGTGAAGACATGTGAGGAATCTGGGAAGAGAACTGAAAATGCAGTAAACATCAACTGCCATTTTCATTATGCCAATTTTGGATCTAGCTGTGAACAATATTTTAAACAAAAATCACAGAGAGATAAGTGCCATGCAGGGAACATGGCTTAGTGTGTAAAGGTATTTATAACATAGGTGGGACAATATCAAGACCCATATAAAAGCTGGAAAAAGTAGTGCACATATGTATAATCCTAGTACAAATATTAGGAAATGAGAGGTGGTTGCAGGAAATGTTCTCATAGAGTCCTGGTCCAGATATCCTGCTATGCTGCATTATAAAAACAGCAAATAAACTCTTTTTTATTTACTTACTTTTATTTAAATAACATTTTTAGTCTATTTTACAGATGAACAACAGTTTCCCCTCCCTCCAGTCACCACCCCCAAATCCCCATCCACTACTCTTCAGTCTCCATTCAAAAAAGGGCAGGCTTCCCATGGCCTTGAACAAAGCATGGCACATGAAGTTGAGGCAGGGCCTAACTCCTCCCCTTGTGTCAAGGCTGGGTCAGGTAATCCAACATGGGGAACAGGTTCCCAAAAGCCAGCTAAGCACCAGGGACAGATCCTGATATCACTTCTAGGAGGCTTACAAACTCAGCCACACAACTTTCACACACATGCAGAGTTTCTAGGTCAGTCCCTTGAGACCCAGAAAGACAAACATGGTATGTACTCACTCATAAGTGGATAATAGCATCAAAGAGACTTTATCTCAAGCAATCAGGAGCAAAAATCAATGTCTAAGTCTTTCCTTTGCTTTTAATAAATGGATCATACCATGCATGTGAAATGCCTCCAACAGGCTAGAGTTTGAAAACTTGCTTTACAGCCAATGGCAGTATCTGGGGAGATTGCAAAACCTTTAGATGGTCAATGAAGTGACATAGAAATTTTATAGCCAAGACTCACTTTCATCTGTGTACCAACTGGTGAACACACTGGGCTGCTATGGAGTTACAAACCACGATCACACAGATGACCCTGGTAAAACCCAGTTATTCACCAAATGAAAGATAAAGATATGAACATGGAACAGCAGTGGGGAAGGAAGAGGGGAGGTGACAGGGTGAAAGGGAGATGTGAGGGGATGAGAGTAATCAGAATGCATTTATATAGACAAATAAAGTCGTCAAAAATAAATTTAACTAACAAAAGAAAGATGAAATACTATAAAGACATGTTAAAATTTTGACTATTCCTTCTCAACAACACAGCTAACATTCAGTAAGACAATAGTGATTAACATAATTTTATTATCCTGGTGTATTATGCTATTGCTTTTTCTTATTAAGAATTAATTAATTAGATTTTAATTTTGTTCCATTTTTCCTCAAAGATTGACAAGAAACACGGAACCCCAAAACCTAACATTTGTGTTACAATTCCTTCTTCTGGGATTTACAGATGATCCAGAAATTCAGTCTCTCATCTTCAGCCTCTTCTTGTTCATATACTTGGTCACACTACTGGGAAACCTGCTCATAATTCTAGGTATAAGTTTTGAGTCCCACCTCCATACTCCCATGTACTTCTTCCTCTCCAACTTGTCCTTTAATGACATCAGTTTCAGCACAGCCACAGTCATCAAGATGCTGATGAACATCCAAGCAAATGATCAGAGCATCACCTACACAGGCTGCCTCACACAGCTCTTCTTTGTACTTGTTTTTGCATACTTTGAAAATTTTCTCCTTACAGTGATGGCCTATGACCGCTATATAGCTATATGTCACCCTTTGAAGTATAGTATCATTATGAATCCTAATTTTTGTTTTCTACTTTCACTGATCTCTCTGTTCATTAGTATTACGGATGCCCTGATTCATACTCTCATGGTACAACGGCTGACCTTCTGCACAGATCTTGAAATCCCCCACTTCTTCTGTGAACTTGATCAGGTCATCAAGCTGTCTTGTTCAGACACCCACATTGATAACATTGTGGTCTTTGTTGCAACTTGTGTATTTGGTGGCATTCCTCTTTGTGGAATCATTTATTCTTATTATCACATTGTGGCTGCAGTCTTGAGGATAGCTACACTGGAGGGAAAGTACAAAGCCTTTTCTACCTGTGGGGCTCACTTGTCCGTGGTTTCCTTATTTTATGGGGCTAGTTCTATGGTATTTATCAGTTCTGCAATGAGTGCCTCACCAAAAAAATCTGCAGTAGCTTCAGTGATGTACTCTGTGCTTCCTCAGATGATGAACCCTTTTATCTACAGTTTAAGGAACAAGGACATGAAAGTTGCTATACGAAATCTTTTAAGTAGGATTGTGTCACTTGAATAATGTGTCCTTTGTTTAGAGTTTGCATGTCTAGAATTAGTCAAAATGACTAGATTTCTAGTAAAGTACAACTTCTGAGACTTCCATTACTATATTTTTCTAAAATCATGCTTCAAAAAATTGATCATGTGTGTTTTTTTCTTCCTCCATTTTTTATTTAAATTAGAAACAAGATTGTTTTACATGTCAATCCCAGTTCCCTCTCCCTCCCCTATTCTCCTACCCCCACTAACACTCTACCTGTCCCATACCCTTTCTGCTCCCCAGGGAGAATGAGGTCTTACATGGGGAGGAATCTTCAGAGTCTGTCATATCCTTTGGGATAGGGTCTAGGCCATCCCCCGTGTGTCTAGGCTGAGGGAGTATCCCTCTGTGTGAAACAGGCTTCCAAAGTCCATCCCTATGCTAGGGATAAGTACTGATCTACTATAAGAGGCCTCATCGATTTCTGAGACCTCCTCACTGACATCCACATTCATATGGTCTGGATCAGTTCCATGCTGGTTTCCCAGTGATCAGTCTGGGGGATAAGAGCTCCCACTTGTTCAGGTCAGCTGTTTCTGTGGGTTTCAACAGCCTGGTCTGGACCCCTTTGCTCATCACTCCTCCCTCTCTGCAACTGGATTCCAGGAGTTCAGTTCAGTGTTTAGCTGTGGGTGTCTACTTCTACTTCCAGCAGCTGCTGGATGAAGCCTCTAGGATGGCATATAAGTTAGTCATCAATCTCATTATCAGAGGAGGGCATTTATGTAGCCTCGCCTCTGTTACTTAGATTGTTAGTTGGTGTTATCCTTGTAGATCGCTCTCGAAACCTAAAAGCCCCGACACAGTTTTATCCGGTAAAGCAAATGACTAGAGGTCTTGGGACTGACCATGTCCTCATTTTTCATCAGTTATTATTTCATGCATATATGTATTTGAATAAACATATATATACTCAAAATAACCTATTGAGTCCATATAATGTTACCTATGTGTATGTTTTCGAAATTGACCACTTGACATTGAACAATCAATCAGTGTGTTCTCTGGGCAGAACCACCTCTCTTCTTCCCAGCTTTACTCTTTGTGTAGGATTTAGGCCTTATGGGCATTCCCCTATGTAGTTTGGCATGATCATTGGTATCTTCTTTATCCAAATCAAGTTTGGATGGTCACCTAATGAATATAGCTTCTGATATTACTAAGAGACCAAATATCACAGCAGAAAACATGTATAGTTTAAAGAACTTTTCTCATCTGATCTGACACTACTCCTTCCAAGAGCCAAGACAACTGGTAAAAATCCCAATTCCAAGCATAAAAAGGCTTCATTTAAGCTGTTGGCCAGATCTAAGAGATTCCCAAAACATATAAACTTTTGCTTTTGCCTTTGCTTGCTCCACAGAGGTGAAAGTTAAGTCCCTATTGCCGTAGTTACCATGAAGTTCAGACATAAGACTTAGAGGGTCCTGAGCTGGAAATTATCTGAATTCCTGGATGCTGAGGATTCGCTTTCATAGTACCAGAAAGCACCATGCAAGCTTTCAAAGTCGGTAGGTGACCCACAGTCCTACCATGCTGAGTCACATGAACCACAACAACTACCAAAATGGCAGGGGAAGTCTTGTGGCTCAAATACCTTGGTGGTGATTAGCATATCTAACTGGATTTAAAACCTGTTCAACAAGAGGGGAACCATGCCTAATAAAGGAAACCTAGCCAACTTCTTAGTGATGTCAACTAATAGAAATGCAGAATTATGGGGCCCAGTCACAATAGATACACTTACAAAACAGCCCTCTATCTAAGGCTCAGAGAACATTACAGAAGAGGTGGAAGAATGATTGTCAAAGCAAGAGGATCAGGGAGTTTACTGTAAGATTTACTCTGCTAGCAGTATTAGAAGCTACATCCATAAAGTTGAACTAATATGACTGCACAAATGAAAGCTGAACAGAAGAAACTCCAGTAGACACGCCAAAGTAGTTGGGGAAAAGTCCAAGAGGCCTCAATCCTTCACAAAGAACTATAATCAACTGGAGAGTGCTAAGAGTATGCAAAAATGTCTATCTCAGGAATGGAATACCAATTGGATACCCAATTCCAAGTGGTTGGCCTTGAAAACATACATACAAGTAAGATTATATGGACTGAACATGTTATATTTAGGAATATATGTGTATACCCATAAACATATACACATGCAGTAACAATTGATGAAAACAAAGGTTACTTGTCTGCACAAAACATGGTCTCCCCCTAAGGAAAATAGGAGACACCTTATTCTTGATCTGAATATAAGTGTTCATGGCATAGCAATAACATACCCTGAATAACATGTCTTTTGGGCGCAGTACCTTGCAGCTCCCTACAGTTCCCCCTTTTTGTTTTAATATTACAGGAGTAGCAGTATCTATCTGTTGTCAGATTTCAGTTATCTCTGTCTTGGGTTCAACCCCAGTGTCCCTATCTTACCCATCAAAGAGTCACTGTGTCGCCCTCACAGGCTCATGTCTTAGGTTGAAGGGAACACATGTATGCTTATTCTCGCAGCAAGAGGGTAGGTGCCCGTCATTGAGCATGACTGATTCAGATACGCATCACTCACTCAGCAAGGGCGAGACAGACATCTATTTGTCTGTCAGCATGGATAACCATGCTTGAAGA